TCAACACTTAATAATACTGATATAATATTCTCTTCAGGGGACAATTCCCACCCTGAGTCAATTTGTCCATATCCATTGACTTTCTACTTTCTCCACCTTCCTTTTCTTGTTCTAATATGCTCGCAAATCCCTTCCAGTCTCTGCACTGTATAGAAATTTAGACTGTTTATCAGTCTGACAGTGTGTCCAGCATGTTTCTGCATTGCATGCCCAGCATCTTTTTTCCCATGTGGTGGTTCTATCTGAGTGTCACTTGCAGGCCTCTGTGGCTGCTCCTAGCAGTCACTCTGGGGATGATACTCTTTCTGGAAGTAGTCAAAATTAACCTCACAAGATTTCTTTATGCAGCAGAGTTGGAAATTATTTGAAATTGTTTCAGACAGACAAAAGGCACATGTCTGCTGTGATGCCGAGTGGGTGTGAGGTGTGTGAGCAGTGCTGTGATGGATGCTTGGCTGAAGGGAACGAGGCATCCTTGCTCTGCCTCCTGGTGATAAACACCTCCAGGGTATTTCAGCTTAAGCACAGGCATATTTGTTGCTTTGGGGATGTAAAGTATCCAAAAGTGAAAATAAAAGTATCTGTGAATTAGGCTGAATGGTGTTTCAGGTAGTGCCCAGTAGTGTCCAAGGTAGCACTGGTTACTCTAATACTCATGTTTGTTTTCACAAACCAGCAGATCACCGTTTCTGAGCGGGCGACTGCTGTGAGGAGACTGTAACCTCTTGATTTCAAAGGAGCCATCGTTTTGCTTGTGCCTCTGTGGTTAATGTAAGAAAGGTGTCTTGCCATAAACTTTTTCCGAGGTATTCAGCAAGGTTGGAAAGGGGTCGGCCTGGGCAGGAAGCCCTTGTCTGTGCTATAAAGAAAATAGCAAGCAACAAAATGAAAGCATCAAAGGACCAACAGGATGCAGTCCCAGGAGTCCTCTCTGGCATGTTAGTCCTTCTTGAAAGTTAGCATTGAGTGAAGAGTGACCTTAAAACTCGTTTCATTCAAACAGACTGGGCTCAAGTTTAAAGTTCAAGACATTTTGTTTTTTCACCTGTTTCCTACAGTTTTAAGAAACTTCTGAAGAATTAATGTGTAACTATATCTGGTCACCGAGCCAACACTGAGAATTTTTCTCAAGGGAAAATAATGTTACTGTATGGAGAGAGAGAGAGAAATGGATACTTTCTGAGGTGGGAGAAAAAGTTTCAACAAAATAAAAACCAAAGCCCCTGCTACCCTGATAGCAAACAGCCCTGGATGTGTGCCCATCACACACACATTATTTCTAATTTTATTTCCAAAAGAAACTGGTGGCATCCAATAATTGTCTGAATCATGGTGAAAGGATGTTGGGGGTTTTTTTGGTCGAAGTTGCTGCTGCTTGGGAAGTGAGGCCTTGTTTGGGGCACAACCTGCAAGCAAAGATCCTGGCTGCAGCAGTTCAGCTTCATCTGTTGAATCTGCATGTTGACTGAGCCAGCAACCAGCCCCAAGGCCATCCATCCCTCTCCCTCTGCACTGGAGCTGCTGGCCCCCGGGAGGGAAAAAATGACCCGAAACTCCATTGATAGGGAAGGGCTGACATGGTGACAGCGGCGCAGCCCTACCGCTGTTGGTGCTGAGGGGCAGCCTGGGCTGCCGGCTGGCACCAGTTACGAGCTGCTTTTATTTTTCACCCTACGTGAAAATACATGATTATGAAGAAAATGATGACTGGGAAAGTTACTTTTTTTGCTGATCTTTGCATCTCACCTAATGGAGCAACTGGAAACTGATCCTGCAGGCGGTTTGGCGGGTCGTCTTTCGTAGCTAAAAGAAGTAGTTTGAAGCGATGACATCCAGGTTTTGCTCTCATTTCCCCATGCCATTAAATTTTAATAATTTTGGCATTAATGTTTCATGAAAGTACTTTCTGAATGGGTTTGTTTTGTCCCGGCACCTAACAGAGTCTAGGGGAGTTTTTTGTTTGGTTTCTGGTGGGTTTTCTTTTCCTCTTAAGTGGTTTAGTGCAGGTAAAAGGTGTCAAACTGGATTAAGTGAGAAAAGGCAACTTCTTGTTGGTGATTCAGCAAAGGAATGTCTCTATAACTCTTTTCAGAAGTCTGAAAAATGACCCTCACATCAAATTCTGCTGTCTACTGTCCTGCCACAAGGTGGCTAAAAATGTTTTGAAAGCCTGCTACGTTCCAGTGCTAGAATTGAGACTAATACATCTAACAGCCTTTCAGCAGTGCGACACGTGGCGCCCAGGAGAGCAGATTTATTGCACCAAAAATTGTACATGTCTTATTTCTACGGAGCGACATTCAGAAAGTGGTTTTTTTACCAAGTTTATTTCAATCCCTCCTCAGCTGGGCTTGTCTGCACTTGGCTTTGTGAGTTGTTTCTTTTAATTATTATTATTAGAAGTCACTGCACCCAACCCATTCTGCATGAAGGACGGGGCTGTTGTGGGCGACACTGGTGTGATGGGGCCCACCAAGCCACAGCCCTGCCAGGATGGCAGCCTCACAGCTTGTGGAATCACTAACTGTGGTTGAAACTTCAGATTCCCCTGTCCCTCTCCACTTACACTGCCTGCTGAATCCATCTGCTCGAATGCTAAATCAGAAACACTTGTCCAAACCTGGGTTAGCAAAGTTTGTTGTTGTTGAATTTTGTAGGACCTGCACTGGGATGCTGGGCATGTTTCTTTAACGTAGTATTTCTGAATCGCCGGCTGCTGCACCATCAGAAATCCATACTTTGTTTTCACTGGTTTCAGGAGCGTTTTTGCAGTTTCTTCTCTGCAAACTTTTTGGACACTTATCTCCATCTGTACAGTAGGGATAGAGCTTTTGTTTAATGGAAATGGAGCGTATCTTCTCCTTACAGATGCACCACTCGCTATTGAGCTTTTTATGTGTGTGTTAGGTTTCCCTTTTTATTTTTTAACTTATTAACTCTGACAAGTAACCTCTTGGTTGTGAACAATTTAATTCACAATTCATTTTTCTGATTCAAAGTGAACACAAGTGCCCTAATCCCCTAATGGGAATTAATTGCATGTTTCAGTGCTTAACTCTGATCCTTTCTCAATCCCCACTGGGACAAGTTTCTTCCTGAAGGATCTATGTTTGTTATTCAAAACACAATCTGAGAAGTAATGATTTTTCTTATAACAGGGAGTCAAACTGACTGATTATTAATGCTCTTTTTTTTTCTGTTGAGGGAATAAGCTGCATCCAAAAAATGTTGTTTAAGTCATGAAGGATAAACTACGCTGAAGTATATCTGATAAAGTACAGGGGGGAAACAATCAGCATGGTCCTTTTATCCTTAAGTGAAAGCTGTTTGCCAGTAAATAAAGGCACACACCATTTTTGCTTGGAGAACTGTTCTGTTACAGAGAAAACCCACTTATTTCACCAAGGGGGAAATTGCTTTGCTACTGAGTATTCTAAAGGCCACTGCTCTTGGCCAGCAACATACCCTTTTGGATAACCTACCTGATCTGACAGTTTATCAACATGAGAGTAAATGGCAGAAAAGAATAGTTTTCTACTTGCAATCTGTTGTTAAAGATTTTTCAAACTTGAAATACGTTGTTTAATGACCTTCCTTCCCAAAGGAGCTGCAGTCAAGCCTGATGTGGGTAAGGCAGGCTCTGCCCCTTCAGTGACTGAGGGCAAAATGTAGGAAACCATCAAACAGTGCAAGAACTGCTTCTGCCCTAGAGAAACAAAGGGAGATGAACAAGGCATAGTGTGAAAAACAACCCAGAAACTATGAACATACCTTGTTTTCCCCTCTACTGTTCATTAAAGCCAGCCCGTTTATCTCATTTAAACCAATTTTGAGGGGGTTGTGTTCACAGATAAAACAAATGTTGAACAACAGTGTTCAGGGTCTGTTTTCAAGAGGGGGCTATCACTTGTACAGAGGGGCTGTTTCAGATGGCTTAGCATTTTGGGGTATCTGGAAGAACAGGAGCATGGTAGTACCTGGACTTTCTGCCAGCAGCTCTAGCTTCCACTTTTGTTGGAGCTGAAATACAGTATCCCCCTCCCAGCCCATCCCCAAGGTAAATAAATGGATACAGCTCCCTTGGGCAGGAGGGGTGAAGGTGTTTGTGAAGCCATTACCAGCTCTGTAAATTAAGTTTGACACCTAAGATTTATCACTGAGGAGAGCTGTGGTGGTTCCCTTCCCCTGAAGAAGCAGGACAAACATGTCCTTGCACTGGGAATGGCAGCTTTCAGACAGCACCCACTTGCTTGGGATGTGCATGTGAGAGGCCACCCTGCTTCTCTCCCCAGAGATAAGCAGTATGTGACCAACTCCATCAGTTCAGACCTTATAAAACAACCACCCTTCTCCCAACAAGGGAGAACAAATGAACTGTGCCTTCACCCCTGCAAGTTTTAATAACAGAGCTTGACCTGGGCCATTTAAACTAGAAATGCAGGGAAGCAGTATAGGAAGATGTCTTGCATAGCTGAGATGAACTATGTTTGGGGTTTGTTGTTTTTTTAAATCTATTTTTTCCCCTATAAAGGAGGTGTTAAGTGGAGTGCAATCTCCATCAGAGGGATGGCTCCCTGGGTTGCTTTTGAGGTCTTACTGAGCATGGCATCACACTTACTGCAGCATGGCTTCCATGATGTTGAGAAGAAAAAAACAAACAAAACAAAAGATATTTAGAGCTTTTCCCAAGGCTCAGGGATGCATTGGCTGATGTTGAGGATTCCTTAGAGAAGCCATGGGATGTCATTCAATGACAGCAAAGAACTGCAAGGGTGACTTTCCCCTGGTGTCTATTTTTCACTGTTACAGTTTTTGACTGGAAAATGTAAAGAGATAGTTTAGTTTAGTATTATACTTAAACAAGGCATAGGGCTACGAGACCACTTTTGCTCATGCCCAAACAGTCTTGCATGTACAACGTGTTGGTGTGGTTGTGGTTCTCCAGAGCTTTGGCCACAGCAGCCACGCGGGTAACATGCATCTTTGTCTTCCAGCTGCTTTTGCAGGTACAATGGCCCGTGTCTTTGTCTACGGGACACTGAAGAAGGGCCAGCCCAACTACAAGCACATGATCAACACAGCCAAGGGGCTAGCAAAATTCCAAGGAAGGGGCCGCACTGTGGAGAAGTACCCACTGGTGATTGCAGGAAAATACAACATTCCTTACATGCTGAACATCCCGGGGACAGGACACCACATTGCTGGGGAGATTTACTCAGTCGATGACCAGATGCTGCAGTTCCTGGATGAGTTTGAAGGTTGCCCAGACATGTACCAGCGCACCCTGATGAGAATCGAGGTGGTGGAGTGGGAAGGGAAGGGTGGCGCGGACGAGGGTGTCCTGGAGTGCTTCGTGTACAGCACGACAACGTACCCCCCCGAGTGGGTGGGCCTCCCCTACCATGACAGTTACGACTCCTCGGGGAAACACGGCCTCTCCTACGTCCTACGGGAAAGCCGGGATTAGAAACAGGAGGTACTGCAGCCCGGCTGAAGACGTAGTACGAAGCACGTGCCGATCAGTAACGCTGCCAGGAAAGCTGTAATACCCTTTCTGTTAAAACACAGGATCTCTTGTAACCTTCCCAACCCAAAAGCCTTGGCACTACTCTTGGAAGTCTGGCGGGCACAGAGATGGGGACTCATCCCTGGCTAGTCAGCGTCCTCCTCTACCCCTGCTAACCTGCCACCAGTAACCTGGTCTAGTTATTTTTCACCACCATCCACCTCCCTCTTTGCCTCAGTGCATGACCAACATCAGTGAAAGGCAGAGGAACAGACTAATTATTCTTTTTTACCTGAGCTGGCAAATATTTTGTGTAGTTCACCAAGGTGGGTGGAATAATGATGATACTATTGCACTAATAGCTGAAACTGATTTTAGAAAATCTGCAAAGTAAAGCACAACTCGCATTTAATATTGACTTGTAATGGTGTTTAGCAAGTTACTGAATGTAAACAGGGAGAGATGACCATAAAGTTACTATGTGCTTCAAGACAGATATGAAATTGCTGGAGAAATAGAAAAAAAAGTAAAGACTGTTCTCTTACTCTGTGTTGCAGTGTTTTGCTGAACTGGAAAAGACATTTTTGAGACGTTTAGTTTTATAAAGTACTGTGAATAAACATTAAAAGAACTACATTTAAAGTAATATTTTACATTTTGCATTCTAAGCACTTTAGGTACCACGTCATTTCACCACTGGGTGACTGTGGGACTGGGGGGGTAGGGGTAGGTGCTGGGGACCAGAAAAGCAAACCTGATTTCAGCTGCCCATCAGGCTACAGCAGCTGCAGCTGTTGTGAGCACTTACAATCAAGGTGACTTTGAGCCAAGCACTTTAATGCAGAATTGCAACCATTTTCCCATTTCTTATTGGTAGAAAGACTGGATATAAAAAAATATCCAAAGGACCTTAATGTGATTATTGCTACATTAAACTGGGAAAAAAAAAAAAAAGAGAGAGATGTAAGGAAGATTATTGTGCCCCTGACCCAACCAACTATGCTGATTTCTGTATAATCTGGGAAAATTGTGGCTTTCTGTTGTTATGCTGCTGTGCCTTATATTTTCTTTCAAATGCAGTGTTTGGTACACATAGGTTGTACAGTATCCAAAGCTGCCAAAGGGATGTGAGTGGGGAATGTGTGCCATGCAGTGAGCCAAAGTACAATTAAAGTACTGAGGATACCTTTAAGAACAATATTGTACTTTTGCTTCATTGCCAGTAGCCCTGTGATGGCCGCAGGAGATAGGGGTAGGGAATCAGTCCAGGGATCCAGGGTAAGGAATTAACCTAAACTTACCAATAACAGGCACTGCTGCATCTCATTTAGAGAAACAGAAAGGTTGTGTTGCTGCAGTAGGGACATTAGTTTTAAAGTAGAAGAGTCATATCATGTCTCTTTGCTGTACTTGGGTTTTTTTGGTTGGTCGTTTTTATAGTTTAGGGCAACCTGCAAAAGTTGAACTGTGCTCCTTTTGGAAGGGGCAGGATGACATTAAGATTTGTAGGAAGGTCTGCAGGCTGTCTGTATCAGTTTCTCCAGCTCCAAAAGCATTAATTTCTCTGGAGGGCAGGTACTGCCCAAACACTCTCCTTACTCATCTTGATGGGTTTTGTAAACTAATTAACAAAGCAGATCCTTGTACTACATTTTTCCATCTTGGCTGTGTGATTTAGTTGGCAGCTTCTCAGTAACATGAAGAAGAAAAAAAAAAAATAAGCCTTTTCAATCAGAAGTTTCAAACAGAAAGAACCTTTCTGGTTGAGCCTGAGTCACCAGCCCTGTCACAGACTGTTTTTGTCCTTCACCTTTCGGTAAAGAGCCCAGGCGCCTCTGGCCAGAGGGTTTTTTTTCTGGGAAGTAGCATGACTCCACACATCCAAGGCAAGCAAATGAGAGCAGGCCCCCTCCTCTCTGGGGCAGAGGTCAATGCACTGCAGGAACGGTGACTTGGAGCTATGTGGGAGAAAAAAACAAGTGTAGGAGGTGAGACTGAAGGTGGGAGTAGCCAAGTGTCCCAGCCCAGCAGCAGGCAGGGCAGGAGAACAGGACAGTGATGATGCCCACAGCGTGCAGGGACTGCAGAGGTACCACTGCATCTGCTGCCTTCTGAGCTGGAGCACTGAGGGGAGAAAGAGCCTCCGATAACCACACACTAACCTTCTGAACCCAGTAAACTTCTGGTATCAACACCATCCTGTGGCACTGAGCTCCTGAGTGCAGAGGGAAGGAAAAAAAAAAATAGATACTCTTACCTGTGCTGCCCATGACAACAACCCTCTCGCTTCTGTTCAAGTCTTTTCCTCCTCTCCAGGCCCTCTCTGGTTTTCCACACTGGATATGCAGCTCTTCCCGTAGGACATAGTTACGTATTATGAACAGTCCTAGTTCTCCACGCAGTCTTTAGTAAGAGCCTCTGCACAACAAAAGATCAGACACTCAAGTCTCCCTTTCCTGTAAGTAGTGCAGGAGGAGGCTTGGCCTCCAGCAATACTCTTGGGTGGCTGAGGGGGTCTGAGGACAGTGCCAGCTCCTACCTTGCATCCAGTAATCAACTGGAAGAAGATGAGGGGGAGGTAGAAATTTGAGTATGGAATTTGAATAAAATAAAATCCCTTACAACTGTAAATGAAAATATATGGGGAAAGTCTGCACTAGCAAAATAAAACATCTAACCTGTAATTTAGTCTATACAAAGGCTTCAAAATGTTACAGTAAATCTGAGCAGAACCTAAGCCATCAGCAGGGCTTCTTCAGCACTTCCACAGAGCACAGGAAAACTGCTTGGTTAACCACTCAGTGGTTAATTTTTCACTCTTACCAACCACTGCACAATTTGTCTGGGCCTTCAAACCAGTGATATTACCACGGAGAAGATTAACCGGATTCAGTCTTTTGTTGTGTTTTCTTTTTTCTTTTTTTTTTTTTAAAGGAGGCTTTTCCTGTTTTAAAGCAGAAATGGTATTTTATTGATTTTATTTGATCCTGAAAAATCAAAGAATTACAAAGGTTATGTACAAGTATTTCTGGAAGTAAAAATCTGGGATCTGCTGCCAAGGTTTAACATCTGTGTTTGCTGTCTTAACCATTGATAAAATAAATATGACTATAAAATCCTGAGCATAGGACTGTCCATTTTCTGTGTTGAATTCCCTTTATCTTACTTTACAGATGAAAATAATAAAGGCTTAGCTAATCCAACAGCGTGGAGGCAACCTTTCATTCCAGTTCCACCAGCAGATCTCCTTCTCCAACAGTATCACCAGCTTTGCAGTGCACAGCTTTCACCTACAGTACAGAAACAGAAATTTCAAATCTTCTTCAATAGCATGGTTAAGCAAATGGTTTGGTTGAGGTTGCTTATATACAGAATCCCATTTGCATGTACAGGATAAATGGCCACTATACAACATTATGACCAGCACAGGGATCACAGGTATACGTATACTGGACGGACCTCGAGGTTGACAACTCAATCTCCAATGTTCAGAGTCCAGCTGAGGTTTGAGGATGGAGACTCCACCACCTCTTGGTAGCCTGCTCCAGTGTTTGACCAAATTGTGTCAATTTAAGAACCCGAAGTTTTAGGGCACTGTAAGTTTTCTTATGACTGAGAAGCTTGAAGACCTGAACGTCAGATGGAGATGCACTTTTTAAAATTAACAAGCACCTCTCTTCCACCTGTTTACTCCTAAAAGTTTAAAACTTTTGGAGGACAGGCTGACTCTTCAGCACTCATGCTTGGACATTTCAATGGAATATTCCATTATTTCTTGCATTATTGATTTTAAGTATAACTGAATTTTGGGGCTGCAGCCACAAAGTGGGTTCTCCTCAATCCCCAGACAGGTGGGATAGACTGATTCAAATCTAAATTGGCATCCATTAACATAAATGAACTTGGCAAAGGTCTACCACTGTCACATAAATGCAGCTACATCTGTAGATGAATTAAATACTCACGTGTGCTTCCTGCACCTACGCAAACTTCTACTAGTCCCTCATTTCCTCTATAAAAGGCTGTAGCATGTTTGAATTCCCTCTCAGCACACAGAGCTCCAGAAAATACTTGAAGCTGTATGTTAGTTTGCTTGCAATATTAAATCACAGCTCACACTGACATGCCCAACTGCTTGTCAAAACTCTCTTCAGCAGTTAGCTCAGTTTTTTCACCCAAACGTTACCTTGGGCTCCTGAAGGAAACCTGCAGCATGCCCAAAATACCAGGCTACTATGGCTGCACATTTGCCCACATCCAAGTTGGATAGTCTAAAGCCACGTGAGCTGTGAGTGCAGCTTTATTTGCAGCACAGAAAGATTCACAGCATTGCTCCAGAAACGAAGCTGAACACTGTACACAGGCAAAGACACCGTGAGATGTACAAAAAGAGGCTGTACTTCTACACCAACAGCTACACAGCTGACCCGATGCCCGAGTCTCAATTTGTTTAGGAGATGAAAGCAGTGTAGAAAATACTCTGCTTTTTTCTTTTCTTTTTCTACTAAGGCAAGGTTCATCAAACCCTGTAGCTGAGCAGTGTTTCAAACTCTCCAGGGAGTTTTGACGTGCTGCAGGGCCAGCTCCCCATCCTGACCCAGGCACAGCTGTCCCATTGGAGACGGGAGGCACGCCAGTTCCTCTCCATCTTTCCCTCATTTCTCAACCACCTGCAGCTGGATTAAACTCAAAGTAGATAAAAACAAGCCACTTTTCTCACAATTACAAACAGGAAGATGGGCTTCAATGCAGAAAAGGAATTCAGCAGGGAATTGGAAGTGGGAAGATCTTCCAGCTGAAGACAAATGAACTGAGTTTCAAAACAGGGTTTCAAAGCATCAAAACACGGACTAACAGCCAGTGCCAAACATCCCATTCCTGCAGAGGGGCCAAGTTATTTTAGCACTCCGAGCCATCACTTTGCACTGCAGAACAGGATTCATTCTGTTAAGCAGCTTCGT